ATATATATATATATATATATTGTTATGTAAGGAAGAGCAATGTTTAAGTTGATAAATTAAACTTTCAACAAGAATTTTGTAAGAATAGACCACACAAAAAGAAGCCGAATGAATTGCAGTAACGTACTCTAACCACCATTTTTGTGGTAACAAATATTTGCGGTAAAATCTGAGTAAACTTATAGCTTCTTGTGCTCTACAGTCAACTTTCACAGTCATGAAATAATGCAGCAGTAACTCACCTCTGCAATTTGTTTTCCTCACAATACTTAGCAGCTTCATCTGGTGGCATATCTGAGAGGTTTTTTTCAAGAACGCAGCTGAAAGGAATGATAGGTTCGCCACCATGCTCCTGCACCCTGAACAAATTCCCAAATGCGAAAAAGATGCAATCAGTAAAATTAAATATGATAAAAATGAGATTCAAAGAAAAGAACAAGTTCCCTGCTTATCTACTGCAACGGATTGCCTGCAGCTAAAAAAAATGGGATTACTTTACGGATTGTTTGGAAGGATGGGGGTGCTTGGGTAAGAGATGTTGGTGGCAGGGGGGTGAATTACAGGTTGAATGATATGGATATACCCAGATTTCAACTACTTTTTTATGTATTTGTTAAATTGGATGGTTACTACTAGGTTGATATGGATACCCCCAAACTATTGTTCCTCAAAATATGCATCTGTTCACCACTCCACTAGTCAGGCACTAGAGCACCAACCGGTATGCAGATATCTCTAACATAATTCCATTCATTCAACCAGGGTTCAATCTTGAGTAGTTATGCCTAAGGGTATAAATGAATCAGAGTCGAGAACGAGCAACGATCAACTTGAGCTTGAGCTTGATTAAATAATCGAGTTAGAGCTCGAGCTTAATTCTACGAGTTTGAGCAGGCTCACAAACCAACTTCTTTATTATGAAATACGAATATAATATTCACTCAAGCTAGTTTATAATAAAATGATATATAAAATTAGTAACGAGGAAATAAATAATAAGAAATCACTAGGTAAAAAATATAAAATATAATTTTTTAAACATTTTTCATAATTTAAAGATATAGCATTGGCTTTTATTATATTTGAGTATATTTTATTTTAATATTTTTTTTAAACAAGCCCGCTCATGAGCTAATGAGTCGAGTCGGGGTTGGCTTGAGCTTGGCTTGTTAGCTCATCAAAATTAACTCACGAGCCAATTTTCAAGCCAAACCGAGCCAAGCCGACCCGGCTAGCTCACAAGTCGGCTTGGCTCACTTACAACCCTAGTTAAGCCCTTGGTATATTAGGTTGAGGTCCTTACTTGACACCTTGAGTAAGGCTTTATGTTATCAAACTAAACCAACAAACAGCTGATATTCCTTAATGTGCTTCTTCCAATTGAAACTCATAGATGATTGATAGGTATGAGTTACCTTCAAGCCGTCGACAATTATGCCTAGCTCCTTGAACTTCGGCCATGTGCAATAAAATTTTCCTTCCTTAAAATGCCATTAGCCCGTAAGCTTTAGAAGAATAATCAAAATATTCATCAATGAATTATTCAACGTTCTCTTTATTTTTTTCCTGCTTTTGCATCTATCAATTTCTTATTGAATATGATCTAATATATATCAACAATGGTACATCAGGAAATTATTCAGCTTGTGATAGACGAGAATTATTTTCAATACAAAATAAAATTTATAGTTATCTTTGTACAAAGCAACTGAAATGCAAGAAGCACTTGAAAATGATAATTACAATAATTACATTATGACTGGCTTTCACCCTCTTTATTTTACATGTAGCATTGAATGAGATGATGCTAAGGAATATGGGGAAGAACTCGCTTCATTTAAAGGATACATCAACATTCGGTTACCATATTTAGATTCTCATTCTTTACAGCAAATACATAAAGACTATGTAATTACCTTATAGTAAGCTAAGACATTGTCATATTGATTATTATCTGAGTGCTAATATTTGTAGATTCGTCAGGCTGGAAACTAGAAATGATTTCTAGTGTAAAAAGTTGTGTAGAATTACACAATATAAAGCTCATAAAGAGGTGTATGATTGTAGATTTGACATGCAATATGTAGAATGCAAAAGCTGAAACATGGCTGGTGAATGTAGAAAGGTAAAGTTGAGGGATTTGGTACGCAATCTATTCATGGAAAATTGAAATGCGCTTGACACATATAAAACTATATGGTTGAGAAATTTGAATGATATGTAATCGACTTGCTGAAATTTATGGTGGTATGTAATTGACTTGATAAACTTTATGGTTTGGCATTTTAAATAGTAGAGATATTGATAAGTCTCTAATAATGAAATAACGTGGGTATTTACTTTTATTCTGTACAAAGAGTCTGTTGTTTTTACGTCGCAGAATCTATTATGATTGCCTAAATGGGCTCACAAGAACTTTTTTATTCACTGCTATACTGAGCTATTTAAGCTTAACAAAACTTAAAGATCTCACTATTTTACAGCGAAATCTAAGTTGTCATTGGGCCTACTAAGATAAACCAAATATAAAATTAATTCGTGGGTCAACAGAACATCTCTTGAAAGCAAGAACAGGATCTAGTCCCAACCATTATGAACACACAAAACATGGTTCAGTTCCTGGATCTTAACCAAACAATGTTGGATCTGACAAGATTCTCACTCTATTTTTGTACCCAAACCAAACTTATGGATGAAAAGGGGCCTGCATCTTAATAAAGAGTTCACTCAAAATCAAGCTTATGCAATCTTTCTTTATCATCTTCACATGAATGTGAACAATAATTAAATAGCATATTTTGCTCATGGCATGAAACAAATTCTAGATTAACTTTGGTATACCTTTTTTAAAGCAATCTACTGAGCATATCAACAAGAATTATTCAGAGAAATGTATTAATGAGATAGCATTATAAATATTCTTAGGTAAAATAACAGAATCAGCAGCAAAGAACCATATTCCAAACACTATTGTCAACAAAGAGGGAAGAAAAAAAAAATAATTTATGACAAGTCAGCGAAAAAACAAAACATACCAAGCATGTATCTTGGGTAAAAACTTATTCTTCTTTCGCTGATAATCTTTTTCATTCATATTCACCTGCAACAAAAAGGGTGGCAATATTTTAAGAAGAAAATACCACAATTCCTTGCTTTCAGTTGGTAAGAGGGCTCTTACAAAAGGTCTCACAAGGCAGCACATGTTCATTATGTAAAAATTCATAAACAAAAAAAATATGTTTAGCTAACAACTCAAGGAAGAAATTTGTTATAAAAACAGCCAGCAAAAATTACAATGTGACTACAAATTCTAAAAAGCAATTAAATATGAAAAATAAACACCACTGAATCTTTTTGTCTCAAAAGTTAAGTGGCTTTCATTGCCTCAAACATTTTTGAAATGCAGCGCGCGCTATGTCATATGGATTCATCATGATGCTTTATAAAATGACTTTGCAAAATTAAACAGCTTCATAAGCTAGATTATTGGTGTTAGAATTTTTTTGAACAAAGGCAAAGTGTTGTGTGATCCCTTGAGCTTCCTCAATGAAGGATAAATCAGGAGCAGTTCTTCTGAGGTAGATTGATTGTTTAAGTAGATTTCCCCAAACATTGGATTTAGGGTACGCCTCCTATAGTTAATTCTCCCTCCTGGACATGTTATCTCAGAAATACCAGTGGACCCAATATGTTAACATCAAGAGGCTTTTGAAGTCAAAGTAGCCTAATAAGCAACCATGAGTTATTTATTCTCAAGAACCGTAAGCAAACTAAGGTGAAGGCGTGCCAAAGAATGCAATTGTGATTGCCATCAATTTGTTCACTAGCAAACGAGTTGTCATAATTTGACGGAATGGTTCTCAAAATTGACAAATCATCATTGTTTGCCCTTCAGAAATTATAAGCATCACATGAAAGCTCAATGGCATAATGATAGCTAATTGTATATATATATATATATATAACATTTCACTTACGCCAGCATGCAATTGTGGATTGAAATTTGGAAGGCTTATTTTGATTTTTTACAAATATTTCAATGCGATATATTACTTATATATAAATGTAAGCTTCGAAAATTCGTGAACAGGACTCTCTTTAGTGTTGAGAGAGCTTCTATTTGATATTCCGGGTTAAATTTTTAAAAGGTAGATTGGATTATAGAAAAGCACTACGCAGAGATTTAGCCCTCATTTTGTGAGGACTTTTTGATCTGGGATTCGAGATTTCCCATAGGTGCAAGCCTTTATAATTAATTATCTTTCCTGATAATAAGAGAGCACTTTTGATTAAAGCTACCTATTAAAGCACTGATTATATATAATAATAACACTTATGTTTTGGGTTATAAAATTCATCACTTGACCTTAAAGTGAATGATGGGGAAAATAGTAACAAATCTGATCAAGATATCATGATTTCATCGTCCCGAATCGATGTGGTCATTGATATAATTAATCAGAGGAGTTATTCGAACCAACCTAACAGAAGAATTCTTGTCAGCAACGCGTTACGTAGTCTAGGGGATCCTTATAGATCCGAGGTAGATGCTTATTTAAGGGGAAAAATTTAAGTCGACCTTAGCTCACAGAAAATTTTATGCCAATCAAATATATTCTTATTGTTCACAACTCAAATGATAGAAAGCAGTGAAAAATATATAAGATGCAGTCGTGACCGGAATAAAATGATGTCATTTAGCGACAACACCCAATCAGAAGGCTCGGGTCTTAACCACTACTTTTTGTGGAGTCGTTCGGTCAAACCACACGAACAAATGACTCGAGTCACATCTTTGCTGGTGAGATTACTTTTGAGTGTGAATATATTGATACACTCGATATTCAATATTTGCGAGCTAAAGTCAATCAAAAAATTGTCAACTTCAATAAATAGTTGTGAAGGGTAGATGAATTTTACTTTTAACTTTAAGTGATTGATTCTTAATTTCTGTGTTCTGATCTATGACTTTGAAAACTTGATTTGAAAATTGATTTAAAAACTGACCCCTTTGGTTGAGATTTTCAGTCAACACGGTCATTAACAAGAATTTGGACATTGCTTGATTTGAACCCTGTTAACTTTATTTCTAATCTTTTAGTGTGAATATAGTGATACACTCGATGTGATTCAATATTTGTGAGCTAAAGTCATAAAAATTGTCAACTTCGACAAACTATGGGTGGGTGGATTTTACTTTTAGCTTTAAATGATTGACTTTTAATTTCAATGTTCTGATTTATGATTTTGAAAACTTGATTTGAAAATTGATTTAAAAGTTGATCACTTCGATTAAGATTTTCAGTCAACACGACCATCAACGAGGATTTGGATTTGGACATTGCTTGATTTGAACCCTGTCAACTTTAATTCTTGTTTGTAAAAAAATGGACTCAATATTAATATATTTTTGTACATGAACTTGTCAACTTTATCCAGCTTACATAGGATCACATTCACATAAATATATTATTTGAGTTTATTCAAATATAGTTTGAAATTTAACTTTGAAAATAAACTCATTTGGTTGAAATCTTAAATCGACTCAGTCATCATCAAGGATTTGGACATTACTTGATTTAAAGTCTGTAGACTTTATGATACCAGAGAAGAAACCCAAGCTACAAAAGAAACACAATATTATTGATGAACTGTAAAAGAGCTAACAAAAATGACTCTTGACAATTGAGAAATAACAACACCAAACATGGGAAGATACCCTAGGGCGAGGACGAGGGTGATGTATGGCGGCTGGACAGCAGAAACGGGATGGTTTTGGAGGAGATTGTTAGGGCAAGGTGGTTGGACGTAGCATTGACAGTAACAAGTTGGTTGTCCTGGCCTGATAGCTGCAAGCGTAGAATAGAAGGATGGCTGGATGCAGGTGATGGGGGGCCTTGAAGGTTTGGGAGAGTGCTAAGGCTATAGGTGAGACAAAGCATAGTTCCACGACATCATTTGTAACGTGGAGGAGGCTGGGATGTCACGGGATGGAGGGAGGTGTTTAGCGGCAACTGTATATGGAAGGCTGGCAGGGCAGGGTTGTGCTAGCAGGTGTTACGTAGTTGGGAGGTAGTTGTAGGTGGTGGGCCGGTGGTCTTGGGTTTTGGATGGCAATACCAGATGAGCAGATGGACGCTGATCTGGAGTGTAGCGACAGAGGTGGAGTCGTGAGGCTGAAGGTGGTGGACTACAGAAAATAACGCGAATTGTTTTTTAAGGCGGTTGCAGCAGGAAAGTTGATGATGATTGCGACAGAGAGATGCGGGGGAAGGAAAGGAGGATACAATCACCTCCCGAGAGAGAGATACAGTCGGAGCACCACCCTATCCATCAACTATAACCTCAAAGGGGAAAACAAGACGTCAGTGGCTGTCCAAACTGAACGTTGAATTCTTAACCAACAAAATACCTCCTCCCCTAAGCAAAACAACCCCTATATATAAGAGGGATTATGACTTATTTTAGGCAATGCTTTTAATTAAGAAATATAATATAATAGGCAAGGATTTATAATCGACAATGTTTTAAAATAAAGAAGAGAATAAAAATAATAATAATTCATAATTTAGGCAATGTTAACAATAGGAAGAATTCTGAGTAGGAAAAGATTAATAAACATAATAGAAATTTAGAATTGGCAAGTGTTAGGAAGGAAAGAGAGAATATGAGGAAAGGAAAGGAAGAAGAGGAAAGGGAGTCAGCAGCCCCCCCCCCTTGAGAACCATCCGGTCCTCTCCAAAGCCTCACATTAGTCTCACGGGGTCGGGGGAGCTTCAACCTCATTTGTCGAAGCTTTTGGATCAAGTACAGTGTCAGATCTGTTACATTGAACGTGGTTGAATTGTTGCAGTCCCCTGGTAGGTTAACTTTGTAGGTGTTGTCGTTCCAAAACACATTTTGGTAGAATAGATATTCGTCCATCTTTGGCATGCCCTGAGCTAAAACTGTAGGCAGACCGAGTAGTTTCACCACTCGGGTATCAAGCCATTTTAGGGGTAACCTGCTTCTTCCATTGCTCATAATCAGTTGAGTGCAGCTAAGGAACTGGTATGGGAGGAGAGATCAATGTTGGGGTGAAATTTGTGGCAAGCCGCACCCCACTCACTAGCACTTCCTCATAAGAGACCTCTCTTTACTGATAGGACTTGGATCCCATTGAAGAATTTTTGTCCCCATCAAGCTCCTAGAGCCCATTACAAGTTGGTATTCACCTCTTATGTCAGGATATTTGACGATGGATACTATGTTGGACTGAAAATAACCTCTAAATAATCCCCCGTAATATTTTTGGCATGACACAAAATGACTCGACTTCTAGCATGTTAGACTTTCCCCCGTAACGTTAACTTAGGAAGGGGTGTATACATCTGAAAAATCCACGATGCTCTGTTCTGTAGTGGTCCAATATCAATGGTCAACTCCTCAAACTCATGCCCTTTTTGGATATTTAAAGTTAATCCTATTGATGTTCCTCTCACCATTTGTGAAACAATAGCTTGAGGTACCACTATTTCATCCTCAGCATGAATGTCTGTTACATCAAGTTCACTATCTTTCTGAATGGCTACCGTTACCTCAGTTAGAATCTCTATCTCGGGGTCAACTGAAATTGGTAGAGTTTCTTGTTGGCCGACAATTGTGGATCCTCTTTGAAGCCTGCATCTCTTTCTAGATCGTTGTTTATCTCTTCAACTGGAAGTTGGTTCTCCTCGTTTATGTCCTCACCGACTTCAATGCCTGCGGTGTTGTCACCCAACTTTTCGATGATGCCCTACTCGGTGAAATAGATCAATCCCCTGGTTGTGCATTCTGCTTCAACATGTCCAAATTCGTGGCACTTGCAACAATTTCTAGCACTAACAGACATGCGGATTGGTTTTGTTGGATAGTAGCAAGAGAGGTTGCTTGGTGATGTGGTCTCTCAACTTCAAACTAGAGTGTGCAATTGTTGGTGGCAGTAAGTTTGGTAGAAACTGGCGCTGTGTTTCCCGCTTCATCTTCATTTCTCATTCTTCCCTTCAAACTTCCAGATCACTGTCAAGAGTAACCTCCCACTGGATTTTCTCTTGAATATTCATAAGTCTATGTTGGAGGCGACAAAGTTCTCGCCATGTCTCTTCTCGGGTAGGCTCGAGCATATTTCTCCTTGGTGGCATGTTTGATGGTTTGGGACCTATGGAAGGAAAGAAAGATAAAAAATAAATGAAAGAAAAAAAAAATTTTGTGTGGTGGATTGAGCAAAGGAGGATACTAGAGACCCTGGGATAAGACTAGTGTTGGACTGGCTCTGATACCAAGTGATACCAAAGGAAAAACCTAAGCCACAAAAGAAACACAATAATATTGTTAAACTGAAAAGGAGTTTACAAACACAACTCTAGAAAATTAGAAAATAACAACGCCAAACATCGGAAAACGCCCTAGGGCGAGGACAACAGTGACACATGGCGGCTGTACAACAAGTAGGGGGTGGTATTGGAGGAGGTTGTTACGGCAAGATAGTTGGACGTAGCTTTGACAGCAACCTGTTGGCCGTTCTGACCTGATAGCTGCAAGCGGAGGACAGAAAGATGGCTGGCAGCAGGTGATGGGGGGTCTTGGAGGGTTGAGGTGGCAGCTGGAAGGGTTGGGAGAATGTTAAGGCTGCAGGTGGGGCAAAGCATGGTTCCAAGACATCATTTGTAACATGGAGGAGGCCAGGGCTGTCACGGGATGGAGGGAGGGAGGTGTTTAGCGGCAACAGTAGACGGAAGGCTGGAAGGGGAGGGGTTGTGCCAGCAGGTGTTATGTAGTTGGGAGGTAACTGTAAGTGGTGGGTCAGTGACCTTGAACAGTAGATGGACCCTGATCTTGAGTGCAGCAGCAGAGGTGGAGTCGTGAGGCTGACGGTGGTGGATTGCAGAAAACCAGTGTTGTTTTGTGAGGCCGCTTCAACAAGTTGATGACGATTGCAATGGAGAGATGCAGCGGAAGGTATGAAAATACAATCACTACCGGGGAAAGAGATACAGTCGGAGCACCATCCTATCCATTGGATACAACCCTCGAAGGGGAAAACAGGACGCAACAACTGTCCAAACATAACGTTGAATTCTTAAGCAACAAAAGACCTCTCCTGAGCAAAACATCCCTATATATAAGGATTAGGACTTATATTAGGCAATGCTTTTAATTAAGAAATAGAATATAATAAACAAGGATTTATAATAGGAAATATTTTAAAACAAGGAAGAGAAAAAAATAATAAGAATTCATAATTTCGGAATGTTTATAATAGGAAGAATTCAGAATAGGCAACGATTAATAAACATAATAGAAATTCAGAATTAGTAATTGCTATGAAAGAAAGATGGGAAAAGGAAAGAAGAAATGGGAGGAAAGGAAAGGGAAAGAAGGGAAAGGAAGAAGAGGAAAGGGGGGTCGGCATCTCTCCCCCATTGAGGACCGACCGATCCTCTCCAAAGCCCCACGCCACTTTACTTCTTGCTTGTAAAGGATCAAGCTTAATATGAACATATGCTTTTACATGAATCTTATTAACTTTGTCCTGCTTACAGAGGATCGGGTTCATTTACATGTTATTATTTGAGTTCATTCAAACATTGGAATGGGTTTTTCCACTTGTAATTTACTTGGTCTGAAACCTTGGAATTCATTTCAATGGGAGAGTCGAGATTAACCAAACAAATAGATGAGTATACCCACCTACTTGCTACAGTGAAAGCCCAAATCAAGTTAGTTTGTAAAGGCATTCGCCAGCTGCTTCAGATACCAACAGAATTCATTGAAGCCCAGTACGTGTCTTACAGACCAATGGGTTAGAAGATCCATTTTTGGTTGTTGTGTCTTATGACATTGACTAGCGCTTGTTATAAACAGTTGAGCATGCCAGACACCCTGATACAACCCCCTTAAGTTGCGACGACATTGAGAGGCTGTCAAAATTCCAGATAAATTTAGAATTGTAAAAATATTAAAATTGGACTTTTGAGCTTTCAAAAATAACTTAAAATTAGATGGTTTGGATTACAAATAATAATAATGATTTAAACAAAGGCTTGCAAAAAATTTTAATTTGAGGACTATTTGGATTTGCAAAATTAACTAAAACTTCGAACCATTTGAACATTGAAATGACAAAAAACAAGAGAAATATAAATTATGAAATTAAAAGTCAAAATAATCATTCTGATTATCGTACAAGTCCTTTCAAGAGAATCAAATTATGCATGCATGACATATAAAGGCTTAGCAATAACTTGATAACCAGTCAATGAATGTAATTCGACTTCTCTTTGACTTCAAATTTCATTAAAATCATAAATTATAATCATATTTGAAGGTGTATAAGCAATCTTTTTTCTGAAAAAAAATGTGAAAATAGGAATGAAGGGCGTCTATTATCTAATGGATAGGACAGAGGTCTTTTAAACCTTTGGTATAGGTTCAAATGTTTAAATGGCAGCACATCATTATAAGATCCACTCGAGTACATACATTATGGCTAATTAAACATTTTAAACGTTAAAATAATGACTTAATATTCCTTTTCGTCAATAGATTCACAACACACCTGCTAGCGAATAGAAGAGTCTTTCAAAAAAGTCAAATTATGATTTTGTACATGTTATTAAGATAAAATTAACACAAACTATCAAAGTTCTTGAATGAATTTCACCACTGAATTCACAACATGTGTGAAATCGAGCAAAATGTGGTATTTCCAAAGCTTAAAGTGAACGATTGTATTTGTTAATGTATTCATTCAAATAATACAATTTATATAAATTTGTCTTATATGTATATTTAAAAAAAATTATTGATTCGATTCATTTTTTATATTCGTGTAAATTACTTTTAGACATGCAAAGTTATCTAAGATAGTCAAATATGTGAAATTCTCTGCATGTGCTCCACCTAATTGACAAATATTTAACTTTAAATTGTCTGAGACTATTGTATGTGTTAAGATTAGTCGTTCACTTGCTTTGATAATCATGCAAAATGATTTTTAAAAATATAATTATTTAAAAGTTAAAAACTCTCATATTTTATAAAATCAAATCCAAGATAATTAGACTATGCGGCCTTGCCTATATGACAGAGTTGTAAGTCTCACTCAACTATTTTGTTCCTTCTTCTCTTAAGAATTGGAGTTGATGAGTCTAATAATTTTCAATAATGACTGAATTATAATTATAAAAAATTTTTAGTTTAGATCACCTTGTCTGATCCTCTTACTTATAAAGACGGTAGTTGACAAATTAACATTTTATAGATATTCACGTTTCAATTTTCAAATAAATTTCAAACATAAATGTTTCAAATGTTAAAATTCTTTAATGATGATCGAGTTGATAAGAAGATTTCAAGTGGAGAGGTCTATAATATTATACTTTATTGTATAATATTTTTTGAAAGAAAATTATTAACATGAGGTGTTTTGATCATGCATTTTGTGTTACGAATTTGTGAAAGAAAAAATTATATCAATGGTGTGCTATGCTGTCCTTTTATGTTTATGCTGTTCCCCAATGTTTGTCTCCTATCGATGTCCATAATTCATAGTTTGTACAATTTTAAATCCTAAAAGAAACTCCTGGTTCGGTAAAAATCAATCACTATGACTAACAAAAAGGGCTAGGCACTCGTGCTTAAGAATAAGTCATTCAGTATACTACTATTGATCCAAAAGATTTATCTTCTTTCCTATTCTTCCTTTGAATTTGATTTCACCAACCTTTTCTCTATGCGAAAGGCGGCAATAATGCTTTTTGTGAGATTACAAAGAGGAGAGAGTGGAGTTACATGAAAGACAAATACGTGCTCCAAATTTAAATGCAACAAAAAATCTTTTTAAAAAATTATAATCAAGTCACTAGGTGGTTTCTAAAAAGTGATAGCCTCTAACTAATAACACAGTTCATACAGGGCAAGTTAGATCACCACTTGGCCAATTTTTTTATGAAAAAAATGCTGAATTAACTACATTCTAAATGAAATAATAGAAAATTTTGCATCAATAAACTGCCACGAAAGCAATGTCACATCTATGAAAAGTTGTATACCAGATAGACAACAGGTTTTGCTGAAAGCAACTGGAAAGTGTTCAAAATCTCTATATCAGCAGCTTTCCAGTCTCCAAGGCGCACATCTTTCCCATCATGTAACCATGCTTTAACCTTCCACAAGACAGAATAGTCTCACCAATCACTTAAATTAAATTCAAAAAACACGTTAAAATAGAATTAATTTATGTATAAAAGAGCATAATAAAAAAAAAATAGTAAAAATTTTAAGATGTCACCATCAGAAAAGAAACATTAGCATCACTTTTAAGCTTATCATCACAAAATGACATGACTAAATTCTTCGCAAACACAACCATAAAACAAATTAAATTTAGTGGAACCAATAATTCACAAGAAGAAGCCACCATAAAACTCACCAATGCAATTTAACTTAAAACTTACCACAAAAACTGTAAGAGGACGCCAAAACATCAGGTTTGTCAAAAACCAATGAAACACATTATCAACCAAAATTGCACAAATTTTTTTCATAATCTTTTATAAATGCCTTTGAGAAGAATCAGGAAAAATTTATTTAAAAAGTACTATCTCAAAGAGGAGCACCATATTTTGAAGAAAGGCTATATAACATATGACTTATGATTAGATACATTAAACAATAAGTAAAATGATCCACCGATAAAAAAATTGAATTAAATTAATATTGATGGATTAGGAAAGGATATGAGTTGAGCAAAAAGAAATGTTCAAAATAGATTTAATAACTCATATAAAGCTCAAGGCAAACAAATGGGCAATGAAATATTTAAAGAACATAAAAATTGCAGGAGAAGGATGTAGAAGAAAAGAATAAAGAGAATTCCACATACACAACCCAAAGTGGAGGACGCATAACTCTATTACACAATTTGGAGTGAAACTAGGACACGAGCTAGATTCATGTAAAGAGAATAAAATAATTTTACTCATCATAATCAATCTAAAAGCCCATACAATCAATCCTAACTATAAACATAACAACCCTAAGAGAAGGATGAGATTATGCTTATCCATATTACCTAAAATTAAAGATGAGATTATACATATCTATTTCACATTGAGAACATAAAAATAACAAAAAATAAATAAATGAACCAAAACTCGGCTAAAGTAGCAACAGGTCAAAAAAACCTTGAAATTTGTTCCATATCAATTAGACATGCAAATGAACTGAGCCGAATTGAGCAAGGCTTTGCTAGAGTTAAAGTTTGTTTGCCAAAACCTCATTTAAGCTCGAGCTCAAGCTTGATTCAAGCACTTGAAATAGTGTTCAAGCTTGGTTTGTTCAAAGATTTGGTTCATAAATCTAATTGATCCAATTAAAAATGATCACTATTGAGCACCTAATTAGTTAACTGATAAATCTTATCGAACCTATTAAAAAGCAACCTAATGGGCTTAAAAGCAAGCATTAACTAAATAAACTACTAAATAAATATGCATTTGAATGATCTTAAACAAACAACTATTACTCATGAACAAAAATAACCTAACATAAAGAAGAACATGGCGTTTAATAATATATTAAATAAATTTATAATCAAGACCTAAATGTGATCGAGTCTTAATAGATCTTTTTAAAAAACTTTTAACTAATATTGTTCATTATCATAAATTAATTAAACACCAAACTGTTTAAGCCTATCAATTTATCAATCGAGTAATCATTGAAGTATTTAAACTTATTCAATTAGTTAATTAAACAATTATGAAGTAGCTCAAATAAATATGAGCCATGAGTAGCTTATCAAGCATATTAGTCCATTTGCAAACCTAATATTAGCTCCTTTATGATTAATTTGATTCCTTGTAATTGACCAATAGAAAATTGAAATTTGTGAGTGAACTTTTGAATAAATAGCTAATACCATAGATATATTGCATCAACTTACCCAACCCACAAAGAACTCTTTTCCTAAGGAGTTCAAGCGGGAAGCATGGAGGAGGAAGCTGTGAAATTGACTCATGCATAGATTGCAATGCAACTCAAACATCAGCATAACCATTGGAAAAAAAAGCAGTCAAATCAGTCTACATGTCAAGCATAATATCCATATATTAGAAAAATGACATATGTTAGTCATATAGATAAATGTGATAATAATCAAAGTCTGTTATTGCATGCAGTCAAATAAGGATGAACATGAGTGTAGATCAATTCAAACTTCAAAGCACAAATTATCAAGTTCTTGATAATTATCATGAACCTTTTATTAAAATCAGAAGTATCATTATACACATAATTAACATTTATTATCAAACTGATACTTAGCCAATTCTCGTGCAACCATACATGATGCATATGATCCATATGATGCAGAGGCAATATCATATCGAGGAGATAAAACTAAATCAGCAAGCACATGTTTAGGCTAAAGGTTTGAGTGGAGGTTATGTTTCTAATTCATGTTCAATCATCAAGTAATGCTTTAAACTTAAATCTTCCATAGCAGAAAAAGGAACATTTTCATTAGAATCATCAACGGTTTTTATGCAAATTCAGGAAGATGTTGAAAACTATCCTTAGAAATTGATACTGATTCAGCTATGTTTATAGGAATAATAGTGCGCTAATCAACATATTCATTAAATTCATAATTTTATTTAAGGAATGATAGAATACAATTAAAAACCAGGGTATCTGTCAATCATAAAACCTATCTTATCAACATCATTTAAACTTTAAAAAGTTGATGAAATGTCACCTTTTTTCCCAATATATGGCACAAGTCTATTTATAAACCTCAACACAACAATACTGGTTCATCAGATGATCCAAAAAGTTGATCAATAATATAACACAAAACTGATTATAATATTCAGAAACAGAATGATATTCTTGTCTAAGATTTCTAAGCTCATAATGCAAGTTTCTTAAGTATGAATCTGGCAAAAATTCTCGTATGAGTTTAAGCTTTAGTTTATTACATATAAAAGCAAGTAATTTTAGTGGTTTTTAATAAACGTCTGAAGGTCTTTTGTAGAAACAAATAATCTGAAGCCAGCAAACTTAATCTTCTGACATTCATTCAATTAACAACGATCAAAATAAAAGTCTAGGTCTCTTAATCAAAATAAATATGATAGCATTATTATAGGCAAACAAAGGAACATAATTTTCATGCAAGCACTTAAAAATATAATGATGCCTTTATACATCGCTGTCATAATAATGCTAAGAAATGTAGTTCCTATAAATAGTATAATCTGGTTGAAATGATGTAGCAAGCGAACCTTGCTAATGTAGCAATTACAAACAATAAATGAGTTTAAATTTCTTTCACCTAGTTTAATCAATCATCAATTCACAGTAATTTGGTTAGGGATAGCTTAAACCATAGGTGACTTATGTGGGCTAGGCAATTTGTATCTTTTTTTTAAACGAAAAATAATGATATGGCTAATAAAAGTATTTACCAAAAAATGTCAGTGCAAATATATATATATATATACACAAATTGTTCATTCGGATCATTTAGCATGAAGCGTATAGAAAGAAGGTTGGTGACAATAAATTCTCTTCTCATTCTTGCCCCTTCTAGTATAAGGAACAAAAATATCTTTTATCCAACAAATAGCTAATACTCTGAATTAGGGGTGTAAACGAACCGAACACGAACGAACAAAGCTTGTGTTCGTGTTCGGTTCGTTTAAAATTTAGTTTGTTTGAAATAAGCTCGTGTTCGTTTCTTAACGAACGAGCCGAACACGAACCGAACACGAGCTGTTCGCGAACGACGAGCCAGTTTGACATCCCTAATATTAATATATTATTATTATTTTATTATATATTATAATTTATAAAATTTAATGTTTTAGAATATAATAAATTTTTTATATATAATTATTTTATATTATTTTATATTTCAAACAATAACGATTCGAACACGAACGAACGCATCACTGTTCGTGTTTGGTTCGTTTAACTAACCGAACGAAAAAAATTTGTTCGCGTTTGTCTCGTTTACTTATCGAACGAATCGAACACGAACTCATTGACGAACCGAACACGAACTGTTCGCGAACAACGAGCTTTTTTGACAGCCCTACTCTGAATACTCCAATCAAAATCACAAATCTACTATTATAAATAATCATCTTTCTGTTCGTGTATGGGATAAGGCAAAGGGATTTCAAGTACTTGTGAAATATTTTTGGTAAAAATATTAGTAGTTGATAAAGTGATCAATACCAAAAAGCTAGCTGGGATTGGAACATCAACAACAACTTTCCAAGAGAGAATTTACAAACAATAATTATTTTTTTCAGGTAAAACACTAGGTTGATATGGCTGACAGGAGGGGTTTAGTTTACAAGAGAAAAACTACTGCTAATAAGTATTTTGTTGGGTTGTGGTTGTGGTTATTATATTGTTTACTTTCGAGCAGTGATACTATTATGTGTTGGTTTGAGACGTTTTACTTGCAAACTATGATGTTAATTTTGGATGATTTGATTTATGTGTAATATATTTTGTGATTTCTTAGTGGCCCTTTTATGAATTTAAAGTTATAAAAATCAGTGAAAAGCAAATGAAATAAATGATAATATCATCCGACCTCAGTTTCTGACTTAATTAATATTAAGCTATCAAAATGGGTCGTGACAAACATTAAATATTAAAACTATAGCCATGCAGTGAGAATGGCTCATATCAGCATCTAGAATGTGAAAATCATTAGCCTTGAAAATTGTAAGCAAGTTTGACTACTTCAAATTAGGGAATGAGGAATTGAACCTCTACGAATTGATTTGGTTGAATAATCGGCCAACACGGATGGTGCAACAACAAAATTCATAAACTCGACCCAAATAATGATGTCAAAGCAAATTATGATAACTATAGCCATGCAGTTAACTAGCTTCCTAAAGGAACAGATTACCAAGTGATGTACTCCATTAGTAACTAAATTACATTAGGAGGGAACATTAATATCATTAGAACAATCAAAACAGTCCAATCTATGAATTACAAACCGTATTAATAGCCAGATTTCATGAAATTTCAAAACAAAACACAGGTGGACTTGATAATAGCTTGGCAAAACCCAGCTGCAACAGCAGAAAAATTCCTAAACAAGAAGAATAATGCCGCTAGAAGTAAAATTAAGAAGCCATTTCTCAACGAACTTTTGAGCAATATTTCCTCCAGTGTAGGTAGATCAAAAAAGCTAGAGCTCAAAAACAAGATAGGAACAAAGAATATGTGATACCTCAAATAAAACACCATCAAAAACTTGTCACTACATAGCAAACAGTGACAATTCGCCGCAATACTTACAAGTTAATGAACATAAAGTTATATACAGCAATAGAAAGTGCATTAAAATAATTAAGCAACAAAACGTAAGGAAAACATAAAGGAAAAGTATCATAAACCTAAAGGATATATCAATTAGTAACAGTGCTAACCTTTTGACAGCATTCAAGCTCTATCTTCAATTGTTTGTCATTGCTTCTTTTCATGCTTTTTTCAAGATCATCTATTCTCCTCTCCATAAATTCTATATCCTAACAAAATAATAATAACATAAGAGTCAAAATAAACCCACATTCCATATTTGAAATAGTAGCACTCTAACCATATACTTCAAAGCTAGGTGCCATCACAATTGATGATGATGACAGATGGCATTAGCAAAAAATGCATGAACGAAAACCAAATAAAAAATGTCATAGCAGAAACAAAAATGCAAAATAAACAGTATGGAAATCTGAAATAAAGCATCAAATAGCTCATATGCAGCAAGAAAAAGTAAAACCACCACCTATACATATGACAGAAGCTTATTTCTTCAAACTGCATCTACCCACAACAACAGTACAATCTAAGAAACAAACATGCTTGCAACATGAAAGACAAAAAATAGAGAATTAATGAAATCGTCGCTCACGAACCTGTTTATTGACATGCACAAATTCATAATCTCAAACAAATTATAGTGGAAATGCAATTCAATGTAGTTCATCATATAGGCTTAATTACCATAGGAAAATTAATTTTCTATTAGAAAAGCATGCATGTTACAACGCTTTAACCCAAATTGAAGGCTAGAATTAAAAAGATAAGATAATTCATACATGCAAGCACAGCATTTATAAATGAAGAATCATTCTACATAAAATTATTGTCACTAAGAAATCTAGTTATATTAACATCCTCTATAAAAAAACAATTATATTAACAAATGAGTATTGTTGATACCGAAGTTAATCAAAGTCGCAATAGCAAAAACAAATATTATTGCTAAAAGCAAATAGAAGGTTACAACAAACTTGAAAGGAAAAATACAATACGATACCCGAAAAATTAGAAATAGCAACAGGCACGACATAAACACTCCAACTAGGGAGGATCTCGAGGTTGTGGCGCTGATCAGCAAGGGATTGGAGGGTAGTGGGATGGTGAACGAGGTTGGCAAGCTGAAAACAGCAAGGCAATGGCTTGTCGGGTTCAGGACAGCAAGTACGCAACAGATATCAACGTGGCACGACTGTCCGAGATAATGGCAACAAAGGGGTAGGGTTGGAACAACAGCAGCAGAGAAGATGAAGAGATGGAACAATGATGGGGGGTGCGATGGACTGTTGGATAGTCAAAGGCTTTCTTGTGCAGGGGCAGCGAGGAAAAGAACCAGACAATGAGGAAAATGTAGGAAAATAGCAAAAGTTATGTTGTCAGGGTGGTTTGCAGGAGGAGGAAAGCGTGGCAGTAAAGTGTGAGGGATGCAGAGAAGTTGAGGAATTATAAACACCGACTGACGACAAAAATACAACTGAAGCACCATCTGAAACCCTAAGATACAACCCTCAAATAGAAGAAGAGATGATGGCGGCTGTCCTGCTACAAAAACACATGAAAAACACACTTCCAAACTCTAATACAAAACATATATAGAAAGATACTAAAAAGGAATGAAGAATAATAAGAAAGAAAGCATAAAAGAGAAATCCATATTGATTCGGCCTATCTCCCCGTCCCCCGTGATCAAGGAAGCTATGTGGCTCGCGTCTCGCGTCCGGAGCGGAGCACTTCTGCTTTAGTCTCTTAGAGTTGAAAGAGATTCAACCTCATCCGTCAAAGCTTTTGTTTCCTTGAAGCATGAAATAAAGTCGGACAAGTTGAAGGTGGTAGAGCTGTTATAATCTTCCGATAAGTCAATCATGTAAGTGTTTTCATTCAAAAACACATCCTAGTGAATAAGTATACATCCTCTTTTGGCACAATCTAAACTAGACAACAGATAAAAGAGTATTCTCATGAATCAAGTCTCAAGTCACTACATGTAAACTGCTCCTCCCACTTCTCGTGCTCCGCTAGACGTATCTGATAAATAAATATGTGGCGAGAAATCAACTTTAGGACGAAATCCATGGCAGGAAGCGCCACTCTCACTAGCAACCACTCAGGAGAGACTTCTTCTCCCGTAGGACTTGGATCTCATTGAAGAATTTACTTCCTCACCAAGCTCCTAAGTTAATTTCCAAAGGAGTGGTTCATCCCTCCTATCTAGCCATCTGTCGGTGGGTACACTGTTAAACTGAATCTAATATCCAAATAACTCTATATAGTATGGCACAAAAGAGTCATTTTTGACATGTCAGACTTCCCTAGAGGCAACTCAGGAAGGATTCTATATATTTGAAAATTTTGAATTTGTCTTAACTGGGATTGTCATATCTCTGATGTCGACTCCTCAAACTCAAAACCACCTTAGACAACTACTGTTAATTCAGTTGGAATCTCTTTCATGGGCTCAGCTAGAACTACATGCATCTTCCCTCGTCAGTTGGAAGGTGGTATTCTTTTTGTGTCATCACTTTCTTCAATGTCTACTAGGTCATAATACATTCTTTCAACGTCTTGCTCAGTGAAATAGATCATTCCCTGATTGCGCAATCTGATTCATAATGCCCAAATCAGTGACACTTTTACCGGTTTACTCCATCTGTTCTCTACTCTAAATCAGTTTCTACTCAAGAAACAATGCATGAAAATAAAGCAGGAGGGATGCAGAGGAATTGGGGAATGATAAATATCACCTGGAGACCAAGGTACAACCGAAGCAGCACCTGAAACCCCTGGATACAACACTCGAAGGGAATAAGAGATGTCGGCAGCTGTCTCGATACAAAACACACAAAAAACTTAAATCTAAACCTTATTACACCACGTATATAAGAAAAGACTTTAAAAAAAGGATATTAGAAACAAAAGCATAAAAAAGGAAATCGGAATTGATTCAACCCGTCTCTCTGCCTCCCGCGATCGCGGGAGCTACGCGACTTGTGTTCACTTCGGAAGAGAAGCGCTCCCACATCAATTATAAGTATGAAATCTCATATATTCACGTTAACAATGCCAACTTGAGCAACTAGTTGTAAATGCAGCATAGATTTCCTACCTAAACTGAACTCTACGTCACAAAAAAAATGACGTTAAATGAATTAAAATTTAAAGACTTCTAATATGGCTCTGAAACATCAGCATTCTCTATCAATGAAAAGATTAACAAACTTTACAATTAACTAGATGTTAAAAGTTTAAAATTAGCAAATACATAGGATGAGTTCCACTTTGAAAAAAATTGAAAGCGCTATATATGCACAAGTACATTCTGCTCATATCCTATGCCGGAACCAACTTAAAACCATTCTGGTTTTGGTATGCCACACATTACTGTTTCAAATTGAAAATCCTTCCCTGGCCTGGGCATTAAAACTAACCATGGATGAAGAAAATCAAAAGTAAATGGAAGTTAATTAGCAAAACAATGATATTTATTGGAATAATCTCCAAGTTTTCAGGGGTAAAAGTAACAAAATACCTTTAGACGGAGCTCTTCTGTTATAACTTCCAAATCCCTTACAGGGTCTACAGAGTCATCCACATGAATGATATCAGGGTCTTCAAATGCTCCTATTTAACCATGTTCCAGTTAAATAAATTTCATAAAAAAGAAATATCTCTAGAGGTGTAAAAAGGCCCACAGCTACCTATGGTCAAAAGCAGGAATTCTTTTTCTTTTACTGGATTAAAACACTTTGATTCAATATGACAGGCAATGTATTTCATCATATAATCAAGTTATGGATTAAGCGAGTTCAATAAAATAGTGAAAAAAAAATTATAATATCCAATCAAATAACAGAAAAATTATGAAATCGGAAGTTTTCCATCGCCATTTAATAACAAGTGATGTGCCTCTGTACAATAGTTTCAAGAAGGTAGTTATATGGCATAATCGCTTATTGCAAAATAATTTAACTAAGCAGATAAATCCTTGGTCATAGAAGTCGGTATTCGTCACAGTACATACAGAATACATAAATAAAAAGATGCATCTTCCTAAGCAACTACTGACACTTAACATTAAATGTATTCCTACCACAGATCATGGAAAAAATGGAGTCAAAATGTATCAAGAGATTAAAAATTAAAGACAATTAATATTCTCAATGTCATTCCAATTGCTTCAGATCAGCTTTATGAATCAGTATATTTCCATCTACTCATCTTATTAAGTGTTGCAACTATCCTATATTTTCTTATTGCAACATTTTGTCATAATTTCTAGCCAGGTAGTATGGTTCTTCCCTCTTCATCCTCACCCTTCCAAATTGATTATGTGCCCTTCCTTTGCCAATGCTATTCTATACACCTTTGTAACATTTTGCACAAATATCCAAGTTATCTTTGGCCTACAAATTTTTCTTTATAATCCTTTAATAATTATTTTATCCACCCATCTTACTGCTCATTTTTATCCTTCACAGTGCATGCTAAATGAACCAAAATCTATTTTCGATGACATTATCTTTAATAAATGTTACTCCCCAGTGCCTCTTTGCTAAAACCAATTCTCAATCCAACACCTTGTTTTCACACAATTACCATAAAATTATAATTTTTGTCAAGCTTAACTTAGCTGCCAATAATTTTTGTTGCCATCCAATATTAGACTCCATAAAATATAGTCAGACCAAATGCAGTTTTGTAAACTTCACTTTTAAGACAACATGAAGCCTTAATTGCACGGGATATCTAGGGCACTTCCTACTTTTACCATCACGACATACCTGAAGTTAATCCTGATATATATCTCTATATTCCTTATACAAAAGATACAATACTTAAACATCTATAGTACTTCCTAGTATAGTTATAAAAGTGGATAATCACCAATAAAACACTAGCTAAAATTGCATATCATTGTTCTAACATTCTACTAACTCTAAAGCACTTTTATCTTCCAAACATTTTCTTCATTATTCTAACATTTCACTAATTAAGGAATAGATCTCACATATTAAAGCAATGTCATCGGCAAAAAACACACACCATGATACCTTACTATAAATATCCTTTGAGTTCGCCTCCGTAACATACACAAAAATGATATAAGCTTTATCTGTAATAAAATCATACTTAGGGTATGTTTGGGGTAGCTGATGATTGTTTATAATCTACTGATAAACAGATTATTCTGATAATCCGATAATCTGCAGATTATCAGAATAAGTTGGTTTGTTGTTTGAGACAGCTTATTCAGAACAGCTTACAGGGAGCTGTTGTTGGATAAATGATCATTTTTCCCCTGTTTGATTAAGTTGTTTGCAACAGAACTGAATGAGGAAAATAATTGATAGAATAAAAGGCTCAAACTATTACAGTTCAGTTGCAAAAATTAAAATATATTGTTCATCATTTTGTGATTGTCAAAAGAAATACAATTACATTTAACAGTAAAAAAATTAATTAGTTCAGCATAGAAATAAAATAAGAAGAAATACATATACATTGTTCACAATTTTCCAAGAACTGCTTTTGTCTCTCTTCTTCGGTAACAAATTGTAAGTGGAAGGCACTCTACCTCACAATTTTTTATTTTGGGGGAAGAAATATGAGGAGTTTCGGAGGGGAGCGGAGGAGGAGAAATATGGGGTTATCTTCCTCAATGCTTTTGGGTAGGAACAGAGGTCTATAGAAGCCGCGATCAAGTTGTTACCTTCCTCGATGCTTTTGGGTAAGTGTGGAATGAAGCGGAGGGAAATATGGGGGTTTCGGAGGTCCGTAGAAGCCACGACAGATCGGAGCAGGAGAAAGATGGGAGTTGCAGAGGTCTGTAGAAGCTGTGACGGTACGGAGCAGGAGAAAGATGGGAATTGCTGAGGTTTGTAGGTCGAGCGAAGCGGAGGAGGAGAAGGGCAGCGAGCGAAGGGATCGTCACGGGTGATGCGAAGGATTGGCATGGGTGAAAGGTGTGCATAACTGCGATTCTCTCCCGGGGAGGAGGCGAGGTGACGAGTGAAGGGCAGCACAGTGATTTTTTCCTATTGGACGCGGGACGCAGGGAGGAGCTGGCTTGCGAAATTATGAAGAAAACAACGATAAAAAAACGCCGCGGCACGAATAATTTCGCCCGAATGTGATATCCAAACAGGGAGGCCGCGTTTTGAAAACGCTGTCGCTCCCTATAATCTGCCCCAAACGGGCCCTTAGATAACATATACAAAAATAACAACTATAACAAGTCAATACTCCATCGTCATCGTCATAAGTAATGTCCCAACTATTTAAGAAAGGCTTTATCAACAATATTTTCATTTGCTCCTTTTGAATGTTGCATGATGTGTAAAATCTATCCATATTTTTTAAGGGGGTTATTTGGGATCAATGTTTTGTTTCTGTTTTTTGTTTTTTAAAACAAAAAATAGGAAACAAACAAAAAACAATATTTGCTTATTTGTTTTTTGTTTTATTTTTATTTTTATTTTTTAAAAGAACAGGTCTATTTTTAAAATACTCGAGAAAGAAAAAAAAAACATGTTTTTGCGCTCGCCTCCCTCACGCCCCTATCGGCCCCCCACCGTCAGCCCGCCTGCTCACAGATAATACTTCATGTTTTGTGAAGTAAGAAATACATTGTAGACGCCATAGGTAGCAGAGCTTAATATTGGAACGCACATGGACTCAACCGTTTTATAAAAATTATAGTTTTTTTCTTTCAAAAAAATAAAAATATCCAACCAAACATGTTTTATATTTTATTTTTAAAAACATATAAATCATAACAGCACCAAACACGTTTTCCGAAAAAAGAAAACAAAAAAAAAGGAAACTAAAAAAAACAAAAAGTGATCCCAAATAGGCCCTAAAGTTTACCCCCTATTATTTTTAAATCTTTGACAAAACTTTTGTCCACTTGTCCATTTAGTGCATTTCTACCCTTCATTATAAGTCCAAATCACCTAGAGTCCATTTTGAACTATCCTTACTTTTCAATAATGACACTTCGATTGTCATATAAAATAACCATTTCTCAATTTACCCACCCTAGTTTTATCACACATCAACCTTAATATTCGTATATTCACTTCATTAAACATAGAATTTTTTACAACCCAACAATAGTCAATAAAACATAACAAGCCTGGTTTCATTTTCAACCTAAAAATCCGCTTTCATATGTAACTAATAGGTACTTCAACATGCCTTAAAGCACATATTTTTCCATAATTTGCATCAAATCAATTCTAGTAATACATGTTTATGCGTCTTATCAAGATCAATAAAATTAATATAAAGATCATTTCCTAGCTCCATACTTTTTGATATATTTCCTTGGTAAAAAAAACCCCTATAATGAATCTTGTTGTTATAAACCAAATTAATTATTTGATCCGAAGGAATTTCTCCCAGGCTATACCATTGTGCTTTTCCATGGTGTCAATGCATGACTTAATAATGCCATATAATACCACAAACTTAAAACAAATCCTTTGGCCCTAAATTCCATATAAAAATGCTTCTTCCCAAATCATTAGACGTCTTGTTCTTCAAAATTTCACTGAACCATTTGCCAAAGTACTCAACTATCATTCATTATTGTTAAAATCACAACATGTATCTTTTCCGAACAAAGCTTCACATTTATGCATTTTGCTTGAAGAAACTACATTTATTTTGGCTCAATCTATAGTATAACTATTGTTCGGATCAATGTGCTCATCCAAAATAATATCTTTATTAAAACTCCTTATTAATGAGTATAGGTGTTATTAACATATTCACACTTCAAGCCCTAATAGTTGATATTGTCTATATAAAAGCAAAGTTTGGGAACTTATGGGTTTTCAAAGGTTTGTTGCAAATTCAATAAAATTTAAAGTTCATATAGATGAAAAAATATAATGTTGCAATGAATCATAAAAAGAAAAGGTGCTCCAAGAAGCATAGTTTCTCTTAGTAACATCCTTACCACTATTAGTAAATGCCAAATGAATTTATTTCTAGCCCTCCAGAAAAAACACGAAAGTGTCATGAAAACATTAAAAATTTTATTTCTTTTAGCAAATCCGAGGTTAAAACCGATGATAAGGCTAATTCATACCTTCCATTTACATTTTAAACTAATGCAGAAGAAATTTGTTCTAAAAAATTTCTGCTGAAAAATCATTCAAAAGATAATGTGCATGAAGGTTTTAAATGTCATACCATTTTCCTAGCGAGCTACGAGACTCGATATTCTATTTTGAAAAACATCTCCCCCATCAACACTATTAGTCTTAACCCATTTACATGAGGTTGACTTTACGAATGACTTTGCGACATTCTTTTTAAGTGGTTCATTTAGTGTTAATTCTAACATATAAATATGTGAATATATTAGCATATCTTCTAATTATGTTAAATATAATATCTTCCTTTCTTTAGTTACTTTCTGCATTTAATCCTATCAACCCTCCATATTGATGCAGCTTTATCTCCTTCCACAATAATTTTGTACCAATTTTTCTTACAAAAACATGATAAAAAGAACCAGCAAGCTCGTCATCAACTCATCAAAATAAGTTTAGTTCAGGAAAATAAACAAATTTGCTTGTAATGCAAGTTCAGGAAAACTGGTTGAACATTCCACACGCCAATCAATAACTCGGCAAATAGTACCTAGGAAATCATAAACAAAAAAATTTTAATAAATTAAGATAAAAACCTTACTAAGGACATGGAAAATTCCATCAACTGCACGAATATGGGACAGAAAATTATTCCCCAAACCCTGTCCTTGATGAGCACCTCGCACTAGCCCAGCTATGTCATGTATTTCCAAAAATGCAGCTACCTGAAATTTCACATATTTTTGTTAGAAACAAAAATGGGAATCAAATATGATAGGGGAAAAAAATTGTCTAAGAGCATTTTTCAAATCCCTTTTTTAATGCCCAATAAATAAAATGCATCAGTGAATTTGCAAGCATACAATAAGTGATCTGAATAAAAGTTTGACATCATTTACAGAAGAAGCCAAGATTAACACGAGTTACAATGGCCAACAGAAGATATAGAGCTTAAATTCTAGTTTAAGATTATCTCATTTGCTTGTCCACCACTGTTAGTAAATGCATCTATATCCTGGTAGTTAACATTATTCAGAGCTTGTACATAAAATCTTTGACTAGTTTATAGGAAGATTTACATACATACCACTCAATTCTTATGTGTTTACACATCTAACACAAACTTCGATTTTTACATACATACAACCTTACCTATGCATTAAAAGCTGCATTTCCTTTTTAAAATTTAAATGGTGGTATTTTGTTGTCATATGAATGATTTGGGTTGTATAAATGTAAAAACTAAATTTTACGTGTTAGATATGTAAAAAAATAAGAATTGGGTGGAATGTGTGTAAATTCCCCCTTAATTTTAATATTAATAGAACTAAGGAAAGGCATTGGCAAAACTCATTTCCAGCTATTCATGGGGCATTTAAATACATACCACCCAGTTCTTATGTTTTTACATATATAACACCTAAACTTTGTTTTTTACATTTATACCAATCAAATCTTTCATATCTCATAAAAAATACCACTATTTTAACTTCTAAAAAAGTGAAATACACCTTTTCATGCATAGTTAAGGCGGCAAATATGTAAAAATTGAAGTTTGTTATATACGCAACTGCATAAGAGTTGAGTGGTATGCATGTAAATCTTCCATTTATTTATCCCAATTGCCTAAAAGAGCACAGGTCTAAGAACATGTGGTTTGTATAGAGAATCTCGCAAACAGCCAATATAAAAAACTGCTTATGGGTAGTATATAAAAGAATATCTATCAAATATACAGTTAGATTTAACAAAAAGTATACGTAGGTGTCTGTTACAAACCTCACTCTTTGGCTTGTACAACTGGCAGAGCCAATCAAATCTTTCATCGGGCACATTAATACGTGCCTCATTGGGCTCTATGGTGCAGAAAGGAAAGTTCTCTGCAGGAATCGACAATTTAGTAAGAGTGTTGAAAAGAGTTGACTTTCCAACATTTGGTAATCCGACCTACATAGAGGAATGAGAAATGCCGGTAATTAGCTAAGCATGACAATTACTCGGAGGTTACTTAGTTTGCTATCAGTAGCTGCGTATGTTATTAACAAATGTAAGTTGTTTGGTTCAGTAACATTTTTTGCTAATATGGTATTTAAAGTATATGTTGATAGCATCTACATGTTAAGCCAAATTTGATGGCATTTACATGTCAGGAAATCTCAAGCTTTTAGAATATGATATTAAAAAACATTTACATTCATACCACACAATTCTTATGTGTTTACATATCTAACATGAAAAAGCTTTAATTTTTACATTTATACAGCCCAGATCTTTCCTATCACATTAAAAATACCATCATTTTAACTTTTAAAAGTGAAATACACATTTTCATGCATAGGCAAGGTGGTAAGCAAGTAAAAATTAAAGTTTTGGGGTTACTTATCTAATTACTTAAGAATTGAAAGGTATTTATGTAAAACTTCAAAAAAATTTATAAACACCCTTAATCTTCCTGCATGCGCCATTGTTTAGATGGCGTGCCATCTAAATATTATTGAACCAAGCTGCCTCTCAAACCAAAGTGTTCTGCATATATACTGGCAAATAAATACTAGAGAGAATGTCAGAGTATCTCAGGAGGTATCTTATAAGCACCACATGCCCAAATGTCAAAGAAAAAATATTTTTAGTTTTGATATCCCCTAATCTAAAATATAAAAGACGGGACTAAAGTTGGGTTAAAATTTTGAACATTTCATAGAATCAAAAAGCACAAAGAATAAAAATGAAAGCAAAAGCGTTGATCGCGGTTCTATGAAAAAACAATGGTGCGATGACATTAGGCGACTTTTCAAAAATGGAATTTGCACCCTGCAGGTGTATTCACAATAACTTTAAAAAAGCAAATAAAAACACAGCGGCAACAAATTTCCCACTTAAGAAGCAAATTATCTCATCGCCATGAGAGTAATCTTCAGGTTAATTGGTGGATGGGGGATTATCGAAGCTCACTATTCCAATCTTGAGGTGAGAGGAGAACCGGCCAAGGATAAGCCGCTCGGCGGTGGCGTCCTTAGACTTGGCGGCGGCTTTGGGTGGCATATCGAAGATTTGACTGGCAACAGAAGAGTGGTGATTCTAGGTTTTGGTGCTCCACGCTTCTCGCGCCTTCAAGGTTTTATCTGTAGCTTGTCCAACGGAAAGGGAGAAGGCCCGAACGAGGAGAAAAATGCGGTCTGTTAATTTTTATTGCTAGGCTAAGACCGGGGGTTAAGTATTCACCAGCAAACACTACTCCAAAAAATTAGGGTTAAGACCCGCTTACAGAATTTGATTTATTTATTATTTGGGTTGTGTCCCAGCTTAAAAATTAAATATTATCTGAATAAATACGAAAATTTGGGTCGGTTTTGGTTAACGGGTCAACCATGAGTTTGGCTCATATTAGTGTTTTAATTTTCAGATCATTTATTATTTTGGTCGAGTTGAGATTGAATCTATTCAGGTTGATCATTTTTAGTTCAGACCCGAATCGAATCCGTTGACCCAAATTAACATCCCTACCTAAGAAAATGTACCTTCTGTCTCCCTCTTAATCAAAATTATGAAAATTTGATTTGACAGCAAATTAAAATAAGTAAGGGTTCGAGATTTATTCGTTCATCACCTAAAGTTGAATTGTGAGTTGAACTAAATAATATATTAAATATAAATATTAATTAAATATGATTTAAATGATAAAATAATGATGTAATAGTATTAATTAAATAAGATTCAAATTATTAATTAACGATAAATTTTATTTAAAATTAATGATAAAATTCTAGCAAATTCATAATAGTTAATGAGATGTTAGGAGTTATTTTAAGATTAAGTGCAACAAATATATTCAAAACTAAATGATCATATATACATACATACGATTAAGTGCAACAAATATATTCAAGACTAAATGATCATATATACATACATATGTGTGTGTGTGTGCGCGCGTGTGGTAACCTTGAATGAATGACGAATAAAGAGAGCATTATTGTGAAATTTGATTGCAACCGCATAGGCATGCTTTTGAATGGTTGGATGATATCGAGAAGTGTTACGAAAATGAATGCATGAGGGGCTTTTTATGGTCGAAACATTTTATAAGTATGCATCAAGGACTTTAACTCTTATATGTAATAAGCAAGAGTATTTTGTTCTAATATTAATTTTCAAGCTTATTTATCCATTGCAATAAATAACTGGTTACTATATATATATA